CTCCCACTGGAACCCTCTGTGCTCAGCTGGGTGCTTGTGTGGATCACGGTGGCTGTCCCTGCATGTGCGTGGTCTCGTGAGCATCCTCTCTGGTGCTGCTGCTGTGGCCCTTCTCCCCCGCCCTGCCTCGGGTTCCAGCAGCATGTGTCAGTGTGGGACCTGTTGTGGCTTTGGTGTCACTTGAGATACCAGACAAGGTGGCCACCAGGACAGGCCTGGGGAACACTTGACCCTCACCCTTGCTTGCCGCCCTGCTGGGAGGTGCCCAGAGGGACTAAGCCCTCAGACCAGAGCCCCCAGCCCAGGGCACCCTGCTGATGGTTCCTCTCCCTCCCTCGCAGGGCCGCGGGGCAGGGTGACACGCGGACGGTGCCGGGAGCAGCGGGGCAGGGAGGAGCTGACCCTGCTGGGGCGCGGGCCCTGTCCCCGCTCTGCAGGGCGAGATGATCGACCGCATCGAGTACAACGTGGAGCACTCGGTGGATTACGTGGAGAGGGCTGTGTCTGACACCAAAAAAGCGGTGAAGTACCAGAGCAAAGCCAGACGGGTGAGTCACTGCCCTGGCTGGGGCCCACCCCCCCCTGCCTGCACTGCTGACACAGCATGGTGCAGCCTCACGGGCACTGCTGGGCACTGCTGGGCGCAGCGCAGGGCCTGCTGGTGGCACCAGCTGCAGCAGAGCTCACCAGGGATCAGCTGTGGGGCAGGGGTGCTGCCTGGGGTGGGGAGAGGGACAGGATGGATCCCATGGCCTGCTGTGAGAGCCACGACCCTTGCAGAGACAAGGCATGGTCCAGCACTGACCCTGAGGGCAGCACCAGCTGTCCCAGTCCCCACAGCTGGTCCCAAGTCATCTTGGAGACCCCATGTCACCTTGGAGACCCCGTGTCATCTTGGAGACCCTGTGTCACCTTGGGGACCCCGTGTCATCTTGGAGACCCCATGTCACCTTGGAGACCCCATGTCACCTTGGGGACCCCATGTCACCTTGGGGACCCCGTGTCATCTTGGAGACCCCATGTCACCTTGGAGACCCCATGTCACCTTGGGGACCCCATGTCACCTTGGGGACCCCCATGGCAACTGGCTCAGCTCTACCAGCCCAGGGCCAAAAGGGCAGCTGGGGTGCACATCCCTGCCCC